TAAACAATTTACGCGCCAAAGTTGAATGCATCACTATTAATCAGTTCATGACTAAAACTAGACAAGGAAATGCGTCAATCAATATCAAAGATGACGAGTTAGCTTAGAAATTGGAATAGGAGAAGTGATTAATTAAGTGAGGTCCTTAGCTCGCATGCGCATGCACGTCTAATCCTGTAATTCATGCCTAAAGCACGAAACTTGTACTTGATTCCTACTCGTTCCATCCGTTCTAGGCCTCAATAAACTTCCATAGAACGCATGAACTTACCTATCAATTCTGGTGCATCTTTAACGCGTTGCGATCATTGGCATGCAGCACCAAAAAGTGGAATAATAATAGCCTCCCTCAATGTTAGCAACCTTAAATGCCAGTATGGCAAGTAAGGCACTCGTGTCTTGGTCCAGGCAGTCCTTCGGTAAGCAAGTCAGCCAACAGCAATGAAGTGCTTCAGTATCGACTTTGACTTCACCCGACTTCACTTCATTTCGAATATGGTTAAATACAATGTCAATATGATTGGCTCGACCGTAGTTAAAGGGATTCTTGTTATCTTAATACACGACTGATTGTCTTCAAAAATCACGAGATCGGGATTGTCAATCTTGGCATCAGCTAGCATCTCGCACAACGTACGATGAATCCACTTGCCTTCTTGAATCGCAAGACTTAACGCGATATACTCCGATTCACTCGTTGAGAGCGATACACTCGACTGTTTCTTGATCCCCCATCTGACTGGACCACCAGCAAGTGTGATTACATAATCTGAAGTTGACTTTCGATCTGTAATGCCCCCAGCCCAGTCCGCATCTTTAAAACACTCGAATTTTAGATCACCACTTAACTTAAATCGAATCTCACGTGAAGTGGTACCTTGTAAAACTGAAATATGCGCTTGACTGCAATCCAGTGTCTAGCCTGAGGGCACTCCACATACCTAGCGACCATGCCAATTGCAAAGGCAGTGTCAGTTCATGTCGCTCACATCAGATGCATAAGCGCGCTCACGATACGATGCATCGATCATGGTCGCTTCAATGAAAAACTTTTCCATTGTTACGCTGATTTTAACTGGACTGGAAACAGGTTTGCAACTTTCCATTGCAAATCGCTGCAGGAAGTCTTTCATGTAGCGCCGTTGGCATAGCGTAACACCATTGTCACGATCGACGAGTTCATACCGAGACTGAACTTGCATGCCCCACTGTCGGTCATTTCAAATTGTTGCTTGAGTTTTGCTTTGACTTCACGAATCATGCCGACTGAGTTTCCAGAATTTACCACATCGTCAACGTACACCAGGAGTAGTAAGCAGTGCCCGTCGAGGCGCATGATGCTCGTGCAGGTGTCAAATTTTGATGTATGATAGCTGATAGAGTGCACGCATGCGTCAAACGTCTCATTCTACACGCAATACTCTTTTTTGAGTCCATCGATGGACTTAAGTAGCTTTGAGCAGTTTAAAATTTGTCTCAATCTCCATGCTATCCGAAATTAAAATATAGACGACTTCGTTCAATTTTCCGTACAGAAAAGTATTAACCACATCAAGTTGGTCCATCGTCCACCCAAAAAAATGTAGCCAAAGCTATCAACATGCGAAGAGTAACATACTTCACAACTGGGTCAAATGTTTTCGTTACGTCAACGCCGTACTTCTGACATAATCCTTTAGCAACGAGTAAGCCTAGTTTTTTTAGGTTAGGCCCATCAGCGTTGCTTTTGATTTTAAACACCCATTTGGCTTCAATCGCACGTTGACTGTCCTGAAGTTTGGCAGGGCAGAAAGCTTCTCGTAGGTGTACTGACTTAATTTTTGCTTGGATAGCATTGCGCCAGTGTGCTCGATTGATATCGCTTACAGCTTCTGAAAAGTAGCTGGTTCGGACAAATAGCAAGCTTGAACCATATTGGCACTTGCACGCCACCAGTCAGTAGGTTCGGTGCGGCGGCGGGTCAACCGTTGGATCCAAACATTGCCGTCTATGATTGTTGCATCCGAGTCGGGTATGTCGCTGTCAGATGATACATCAGGTGACAAATTGGAGCGAGTTGGACGTTATACTAGTGTTCATAAAGTCAGAATGACTGTAGGTGCTTACATGAATATTTAATGAAGCTCCGTAACGGTTTCGACCGCTTTGTCTTCTAAATCGTTAGTCAGAGTCATTTAATAGACAGATTCGTCGAAGTGAACACCGCGACTGATTGTAATTTGGTCCCCCAAGATGTCATGCAACCGATAAGCATCCGAAGTGTCTTCGTAGCACACGAAGATACCCGGCTTGGATTTTGGGTCCCACTTTTATCGCTTTTTGGCAGGTTCAGAATAAATGCTCAACAGCAAAAAACACGCATGTGTTTCACACTAGGCTTATGTTTGTAAGCCATCTCGAATAGTGTTTTAAGTGGGAAATTAGGAGATGGAAGTCAATTCTTGATGTATGCTGCGGTCATTGCAGCCTCGGCCCAAAACGTCTTACCTAAAAACGCGTAGTGCAGCATGCTAAGACCAATTTTTTCAATGCTTCGAATTGCTCTCTCTGCTGTTCCGTTTGTTTGATGCGCGTACGGTACGGTCACTTGTTCTTTGATGCCTTGATCATCATAAAATTGTTTGTTTAAGTTGGTTGTGATTTCCTCGGCCAGTCATGACGGACGAACTTGACTCGCTTTCCAAACTGGTAGCCAATCTGAAGGACAAACTTATTCAGCACAGCCCCACTGTCCGATTTTTGGGGTACTACATAACACATGTTACGGGGTTGCACGAAATTATGGTACTTTGTACCAGAGGTGTTACACACCTGAGGTTACCCCTTTGTGAAGGTGATATAGATTATCTTATTGGTTTGTAGGGGTTGACGAGTGTCAGCCATTAGGTACGAAAGATCTTTGAGTAGGATTAAGATATTCTATAAGCGTTAACAAAAATAAAATCAGTTCCCATTTTGGTCTAAAGGACACGTGGCTTGTGAGCCATCTTGATCGTTGATCACTGATCACTAAGAGTTAGCAACACCTCCCTGAGGTAGCTACTCTTTAGCACTGAGTGCTGTCGATTCACTGAATCGTTAGGTCCCCCTGGAACAGGAATCGGAAGCTGTAAAGCTTGTTGACTCGTAAAGTCGTAAGTTCTTTGGAACTAAGTTGCTCGTAGAGCGTTAAGTCTTCCTCTGACTTAAGGAGCTGTGTAGCTCAGCTACACTTGGTAGCACTAGTAGTCAATCTACGCCTGAGTCTTTAAGACTGATCCTCTCTGAGGATGGAAAACTCCACTCCCCTATCTGAGGCCCAAAAGGTCGCGCTTGATAAGCTGACCGCATCTTTGGGTCCAGAGTACGTGGACTTCCTTGTTTCACAAGGTCCTGAAGTGCTTAATGCACGTGTTGAAAGCTTCATGTAGTTTGAAGCGACCCTTTTAAAGCAGGATCAAGACCAAATAGCGTCAGCTATGCCTAAACGCTACGTGTCTGTGCCAGACGAAGAGGCTAAGCCTCGTCCACTTAGAGTGGAAGTGAAAAACTACTCCGGTAAGGAGGGTGAGAACCTCATCCTCTGGATCCGTGAGATTGAGATGGCCATGAGATCAGGCCTGATCACGATTGACCATCAACAGGACTCGCTGGCTATCCCGAAGCTTGATGGAAGATCTATTGAATGGGCCTTGACGTGTAGTACGTCGGTGGACATAGCGTTTCCCTCATGGGAGTCGCTCAAGTCACAATTGGTACAGGTGCTCTCACCACCTAACCAGGCTTACCGCGTGCGTTCACGTTTTCTTTCTACCCGCCAGGGTAAGAATGAATTATCGGACTATGTCCAAGAGCTGCGAACGCTCATGGCTGCAATGCAGTCTGACCCTCCGCTTGAAGCAGTCCATGTGACTCTCTTCATGGAAGGTCTACGTACTGGCGTTGCCAGGACCGAGGTTTTTCGGGTTCACCCCTCTACGTTCGAAGAGGCTGTGAGAATTGCTCTTAATGCTGAGCATAACTTCAATTCGGCCAGACTTGGCAGGAATGGATGCAATCCTTGCTCTGTGAGAGCAAACTTTTCGGGTGCCACTGCCTATAAGAGGCCGGAACCGATGGATCTCAGCTATGCTGAAGATGGAGGTGAAGATGAGCTTCAAGCTGCGGAGCAGCAACACGTCGTACGACGGTTATTTACGTGCGGAAGAACTAAAAACTTGCGGCCTGGTTGCCCTTTGCGTAAGCAACGCCAGGCTACGAGCCAACACTCGACCCCGAGTCAGAAGTCTGGCATGGCACGGGGAAATGCCGACACCCAGTAGGCGCGGGGCACCCTACTGGGGAAGAAATGAGTTCTGTTACACCCTCGGAAGGTAAAGGAATGCAGGGCTTAGCCCCAAAGAGTACCATACCTACATGTATGGTGAGTGGATACAATTCTAGCTTGTAGGTCGCCGAGGCGAAAATTTAGGGCTTTGAGAAGCCTTGGTCGATATTGATTGATTCCGGAGCGTCTTGCAATTATGCTCGACTCCGTTCCCTTGAGGGAAGTCAGCGTTATGCTGAGGCGCTTAAAGCGCATGAGGGTGATTGTATCACGGTACGTTTAGCGACTGGAAGTCGCGTTACTGTGCCTAAAGTTCCATTGAACTTAGGTATAAAGTTATTAGACTTTGACAGTATTGAGCGCTGTCTTGTCCTGGATCTGGACTCGAGACATTAACATATCCTGGGTATGGCTTGGCTAGAACGTCATGAGCCCTGGATTGATTGGAGGTCGAAGACCTTAGGCGCTACGCGCAATGTTCCTAGCGAAGCTTTAGAGAGTCATAAACCCACCTTCGCTAGGCAACAGAAGCGCTATTGGCGCGAGCCTTTGACAGAAGATGTCAATGTGCTGGATATTGGAATGTCTGAGTTATCTAACTCCAGTGTTACAAACATAACTTTCGGGCCTAGCTCGTCTATTGAAACGGCACGTACTCCGTTGAGTGTTACTCGTTGTGACAACGAGTCACTGCATGCTGAAAGCATGGTTGGCCTACGGCCGAGTGAACAAGGATGTGATTTTTTTTGATGTGTGTATGGTGGCACGTGAAACTGCACCGAGTGCGGTCGGCCGTGAGAGCACCGCACTGAATGTCGGTAATGACATTTTCGGCGATACGCTATTTAGTGTGGGCGTCCGTGAAGGCACCACGCTTAACGTCGGTAATGGCGTTGTTGGCGATACGCCGTATAGTGTGGGCGTCCGTGAAGGCACCACGCTTAACGTCGGTAATGGCGTTGATGGCGATACGCCGTATAGTGTGGACGGCCGTGAAGGCACCACACCTGTTGTCGGTAATGACCTTATTGGCGAGACGCCGTTAAATTTGGGGCTAGGCCCGCATAATTCACATACGTGGCACTTTTCAATCCACCGGGTGAAATGCTCGAGTTGCGTAACACTTCACCAGATGTCGGTCAAGACAAAAGCTCTCGTATAGAGCGTACTATGGTTAGTAGTAACCATGGCGACAATATTGTCCCGACCTATGAGGGGTGTAAAGTCTCGAAGAGACGATCGAGACACAAATTAGCATCTTTTAAGCGCTAGGCGTACTCACAGTCACATAGTGATAATAGCAATACACTATGTACACTTGACTGGTCAGGTTGATGGCAGTGTTTGCCTTAAAACCCTTTCATCTGTGGACGCTCTTTGTAGGTAAGACGAAATGTCTGATGGCGAGTTTAGACAGGCCTTGAAGGCAGGAGAGTTATCCGAGTTAGCGGTCATTAGACCTGATACTGAGTGGAATTCTTCCTCGTTAATGAATGAGTTTGTCCTAGAGGATACAAAGGAGGCACTTAGTGCACGAAGTGGATCTTCGATACTTAAATATCCTTTGGATCCGTTCTATCTTTTAGTTAAGGAATTTCAAGATGTGGTGTGTCACAACCCACCTTCTGCCTTACCTCCAGATAGAGGTGTACGTCATGAGATTGACTTGGTTCCGGGAACCAAGTACTGTGTAACACGGCAGTGGACTTTGCCTAAAGAACAGTGCGACGTCATTGACGAGTTCTTTCGTGCGAAGCACGCGGCTGGCATGGTGCGTGAGAGTAAGTCTCCCCATTCAACAATGACATTTTGTGAAAGAAAGCCTAATGAGAACTGGCAAATCGTGCATGCTTACAATAAGCTAAATGCAGCCACTATCCCGGCGCAGACGCCTATTTCTAATAAGGATGTGCTTCAGAACAATATGGCAGGATGTGCATTGTACAATGCCCTCGACTTAGTCTATGAATGTTACCAACTGCTAATGCGAGCTAGTGATATCCCGCTGACAGCGGTCAGCACTCCGAGCGATTTGCTCTAGGAGTGGCTTGTTATGCCACAAGGGCTATCTAAGGCCCCGGCTACGTTTAACCGGCTGGTAACGCAACTATTTAGACCTCGTCGAGGATATGCACGAACGTACTTTAATGACATTTTTGTCCATAGTCGTGCAATGAATGGGCGATCAGATGTGGATAATTACATTGATTATTTACGAGCTGTTCTCGAGTGCATGCGAACGAATAAGTTGTATGCTAACGCATCAAAGTTTCCCTTTCTAGGGTGCTTCATTGGGAAGCGAGGCCTTCGAGAGGATCCTGCTAAGGTGAAAGCCGTAGTCGACTGGCCGGTTCCCGAGAAACAAAAGAACTTGCGTAAGTGGCTTGGCCTTGCCAATTACTTACACAAGTACAGTTCAAATTACACAGATATGGCTTGACCATTGTCGAATCTCCTTAAAAAGGATGTGGGTTGGAGTTGGGGTAACACCGAACATAATGCTTTTAAAGCAGTTAAGGAGAGTCTCCTTCATGCGCCAATATTGGCTTTGCCCGATTCTGGTCGGCCTTTCAGTGTCGTCTGTGACGCATCTGACTTTGCAATAGGCAGTATTCTGTTACAAACAGATGTCGACGGACGCGAACGCGTCATCGCATTCGAGTCTCGGCAGCTGAAAGCTGCTGAAAAGCACTATCCTGTTCATGACAAAGAGCTATTTGCTATGAAGTACGCTCTTGTCAAATTCAGAGTACATCTGCTTGGCTCCAAGCTGTTTGTGATCTATACAGATCTTGAGTCGTTACGCACAGCGCCACAGTGGCCTCATCTCTCGCAAATAATGGTTGTTGGATTTCCTTCTTTGCCGAATATAACTTCGAGGTGAAGTACAAGCCAGGTAAGCAAAATGCTTTGGCTGATGCGCTATCGCGTCGACCTGACTATGAGCTTGCTCATGTTACGACCCTGTCGTCGTCAGTCCCCTGACTTAATTCGTGCGGCATATGCCAAGGATGAACAGTGTGTAGCTTTGCTACGAGCTCTTGGGAGCAATGAGTTTAAAGACTCGGACATATAATTGTCGGCACATTTACGTGCGAGGCTACATCGATATTCCATCGATAATGGCCTGTTGTGCTATCGCACGGATTTTGAGGATAAGCCTCGCATCGCTGTACCTCATGATGAGAAATTACAGTATCGGATCCTCTATGAGGCACATGAGACTGCTTTAAGTGGTCATTTAGGTCGTGAGAAGACCTACAGCTCGGTGAGCCAAAGTTATTGCCGGCCCAAACTTTATAAGTGGGTGCGCACCTATGTGCGTACGTGCGAAACGTGTCAACGGGTAAAACCCTCGGCACATGCGGCGGCGCCGTTGGCTAGTTTGCCTGTACCCAGTGGTTGTTGGGAGTCCATGAGCATGGACTTTGTGTTTGGCCTACCGCGCGATGCGGCAGGCAACACTAGGATTGTGGTCTTTGTTGACCGACTGAGCAAGATGGCTCACTTAGCGGCTGTGCCGGACTCCATTGATGGAGATGGAACAGCAAAGCTGTTCATGGATCGTGTGTTTCTACAACAAGGATTGCCTGTGGCAATCGTCTCGGATAGAGACCCCCGTTTTACGGGCAAGTTTTAGACGTCCGTCTTCAAAGTGCTGGGCACTCGACTGGACATGTCCACGACGGATCATATGCAGACCGACGGTCAAACTGAGCGTGTTAACCGCGTCATCAACGACATTTTGCGCAGAATTTGCGCTGATACGCCAAGGCGTTGGAGCTCAATGCTCCCTGTTGTTGAGTTTGCGTTGAAGAACTCTGTTCATGCCTCAACAGGCTTTACTCCGTTCTATATAAACGGTCTCACTCACCCTCGCGTTCCGTTAACGCTATCACTATGTGAACCAGGGCTTGGTGGGGGAGAGGTTGCCGATCGGCTTGCTGATATCAGCCCTGCTACTGTTCAAAAACAGGTAGGCGAGTTTCTAGCAACGCGATTAAATGTCTTAAGACATGTGCGTGACGCAATGGCTGATAGCCAAGATACCCAAAAACGACAAGCTGATGCCAAAGGCAGAAATTGTATTGAACGTTATGAGGTCGGAGACCAAGTACTACTCAATGCTAAAAATCTACCTACAAATGTAGTGTCTGCTGTCTTTAAGACTAGGTTGCGTTTACGCTTTGTTGGACCGTTTACGGTCACGGCCAAGAAGGGACTTGCGTATACGCTAAACCTCCCGCGCAAATTGAGCACACAATCAGTGTTCTACGTAGGCTTACTTAAGCCGTACCGGGATCCTTCCCATGTGAACTTGGAGGCGCTTGCGCCGACGCCAAGGGCACTGCCCCGGATTGCTGTAGACGAATCAGCAAGTCCAACTGAGCTTCGCTCCGAGTTTAAGCTTGCTCCATCGCCTGAAGGCGGCTTTGCACCGCATCCAGCATGCACTGGGACTTACCCAAGGCCTCTTGAAGACCCTTCACTTCGAGAACCAATTTCTCGTGGGCCTCCACCGGTACACCAGCCGCCACCAACTTTGCTCGATGAGCATGGGTGTCGTCAATTTCATGTTGAGATACTACTGAAACGACGTCGTCATCAGGTCCAATACCAGTATCTGGCAAAGTGTCGTGGGTACCCTGAGTCTAAAAACGCATGGGAATTTGAGGTACTCCTTCGGCAGGACTGCCCATATGCGTTAGAGGCTTTTGAGTATCGTGGCCATGGTCAAATCGAGCCCGAGTCCGTTCCCCACCACTAGTGGTCCGGGTTGGCGGGTTGTTGGCCACAGACTGACCAGCACTCGCGGCTACCTTAGTAGCCGAAGCATAGCGCGTGCGCTTGCGCAAGTGGTCTCTGGTATTAAGCTTGGCATAATTATACCGAAGCTTGCGTTCGAGACGCACATCCGCCGCATGGGCACTAGCCTTTAGAGCAAAAATGTTGATGAGGCGACGTACATAGTGCACCCAGTGAACGAAGGCATCGTCTTCTTCGCTTACTGTTTCGCCTGCGAGCAAGAGAATGGGTATACCCTTGATCAGTGGAACCGGTGCACCACGTGCTTGCATGTCAAGGCGTGCCTTGTATTGACTTTGAGTCGTTAGGTGCGGCTATAGGTACCTCTCACGAAGTGCCTGGCAGCTCACCACCTCCTCTGGAGTCTTAGGCCCATGGCCAATGACCCACGTTACTAATGTTTGGCCGGCCGCTTGACTTAGACGTTCCTCCACACTGGGTGGGGTGAGCACACAGTCACGCTGGCGCTCAAGAATTGCAGCCATTTGTACATAACGCTGAGCGTTTTCTTTTCTTTGAACAAGCAATTGTTGTTGCTCATCGAGCGGGTTCGTGATGATAGTCTCATCAGACCCAAATGCTGCATGCTGCGCTGGTGGCGCGCTCGCACCTCCACGTTCAGCGAACGGATTTGGGGTGTTCGAAGGTTGTGCCACAGGCATCAGTGAACCGGACATTGTCCCTGTATCACTGCGGACACTGGTATCGCTACCATAGTCCACCTCCTCCTCTTTTCCGAGGTAGTTACACAGAGCCTTTGACTTGTTTGGTGACGAGGACATCGTGCTAGAGCGTACGTTACCGTGAGGCTCACCGCACGCGCACTGTTCTCGCTGAGAACACAAGTTCGATTGACGTTTTGGCAAACGTCAGTCTGGTGGGGGAGGGTGTAACGGGGTTGCACGAAATTATGGTACTTTGTACTAGAGGTGTTACACACCTGAGGTTGCCCCTTTGTGAAGGTGATATAGATTATCTTATCGGTTTGTAGGGGTTGACGAGTGTCAGCCATTAGGTACGAAAAATCTTTGAGTAGGATTAAGATATTCTATAAGCGTTAACAAAAATAAAATCAGTTCCCATTTTGATCTAAAGGACACGTGGCTTGTGAGCCATCTTGATCGTTGATCACTGATCACTAAGAGTTAGCAACACCTCCCTGAGGTAGCTACTCTTGAGCACTGAGTGCCGTCGATTCACCGAATCGTTAGGTCCCCCTGGAACAGGAATCGGAAGCTGTAAAGCTTGTTGACTCGTAAAGTCGTAAGCTCTTTGGAACTAAGTTGCTCGTAGAGCGTTAAGTCTTCCTCTGACTTAAGGAGCTGTGTAGCTCCGCTACAACACATCTGACGACAACCTGACCATTTGCCATCAATTGTTAAGTCGAGGAAAAGATTTCTACCTGTAAAACATTACAGACGTAAAAAGCAACTTATAACCCGCTTAATTTAACACTATATTCCTAAAATGCTAAATCTGCTGGAGATAAAAAGCGACTATGAAAAAAATGGCCTCAACAACCTTTAAGAAAAACTATGATACTACTGGAGCAATTAAATTTCATATATGCAGTTTTTACTTGATAAAATCCATGACCTTTTTAATATCTAACCGTGAATGATGGAAAAATCATGTCCGCTTAAAGCTCTCGGTATAGTAGCACTCGATTGCAGCAACCAAAAAATTTGAATTTGCTTCCTGGATGTCCTGCCCGTAGTTTGTACAACTTGACTGTAACTCAATCTTTAAAAACTGTCAGTTATTCACTAACAATTTATGCGTAAGATATTTTTGCTACTACTAATAACATGATGGTACCGAAGCTAAGTGACTGACTTAAGACCGCTTTGATTGATTAGTTGTAAGGATGAAGTGCCTCACTCAAAATATTATTTAGCTCTTTTTGTCTGCTTTGATATCTATACAAAAGCATATGTATCACAAAATTGCGCCTCTGGTGCCGCCACCTAGCCCGCCTTTTATCTTGCAGGCCATGCTGACGCAGTACGTAACTCCCACTTGTAACGGGGTGAGCCTTTTCCACGTAATTGACCTTGATATTGTGAATAAGAATATTATCATAAAGGATGATAATTTCGTGAATGTTACGATTAGGGTTGATATGTTCCTAAGTACTCACCGATTGGCTGGTATGGACCACCATGTCTGCCAACTTCAGCGGTCCTATCAACAATGGACACGCACAATGAGTGGTGAGCAAGACTTTAGCATACACTTTTGTCGATAAACAAAATTAAGTTAGGACTAAACAAAGGTACATGTCGTAAGGACTTCAATTTTTATAACACATTTTTACTTTCTACTACTGTTGAACGCTTCGTTCACCAGCTAGCCTTCCTCTGCACTTATGGTGTACGTGACGTGACGCGCGGCACTACCGAAACTGTTGTCAGTGTAGGTGCATCAGTACTAAAGCGGTACTAGCGCCCCGCTTTAGTTGGCCCGCTTTGGACTGTGGCACCACCACCTTCATCTCATGGTCGACAGACTATGCTTCAGTAGAAAAAATACATAGGACGTTTTGTACTTTCCGGTGACGTACGCCGAAAACGGCTACACGACAGTCGCGCGCAACTTCGGCTGTAAATTTCTGAATCTTCTTCAGCGCTGTATGTTGTCCATGTTTTCCGTCGAATTAAAATAGATTGATCTTGTGCCATTTTAGCCCAACCCGTGCACACGTCCCGGAGCCTCTTATCAGCATTTGTGGTATGTTGGCTTCGAGTTGGCTTTATAGCTTGCAACAATGACGCACACACGCGTCAGCTAAGTCGTTTGTGCAGACTTCTATAGAATAACGCGCGCATGAACAAGGCAAGTCTTGAACCTGCGCGGCATTCATCTTTTTTTACTCCCTAGGTAAGGCCGTGGAAGGGGAGGATGGACTTGTATTCGGGTCGGTGGTTTCTACGAGGTTCGTAATTGCTACATTAGCTTTGCTTGATTATAGTGAAATCGGGCGTCAGGGGCTTCAGCTTGAGCTACTACGGTCCTAACATGAGCACCTCAACAGACACAACCGTGTTTGTGAATGAGTGCGATGTACCTGATCATAGATGGGAAATTGCCCAATTGGTCGCACGCAATTTAAGAGCATCCGAGACTACTAGTGTGGTTTTCTAGCTACTGTGTGTGATTATGCTACTGCTACTACTGCCGCGTGTGTTGTGTTTTCATAAATGTGTTCATAGGGCAGTTAGTGATTGCATAGCTTGTGTGGTTTAGAAAATTTCACCGAAGCACATTGGCATGTTAGTGAACTAAGCAGGAAAAAAGTGTACTTACCGTCGTTAGTGCGCACTTCGATTTGACACGTTTTAGTTGATGTGGCGATTTGATGGGACACGTACTCTCCTCCGTAGAAATGGCAATGGGACGATCACTTGAGCATTTGACACTTGAGAAAATTGAAAGGGTGTCGTATTGAACACGCTTGCACATTTCTGGACTTTGAAGATTGCCATACTGTCCGAAAGGTGTAGGGGTCACTACTTGTGACACTGCATCCGTGTTGGGCATGACGAGCTGTGCCAAGCTGACCGACTACTCTGCGAACAAAGCTGCGGTCAATGCTTTCAATCAAGCTCATCCAGTTAGTACACTCGTAGCAACTGGCCTAGATAGCTGTTTACATTCATACCCTGAGCTACAACGTGAAATTGACGTACCGATTCGGTCGCTTCTGGTCTAACCTGCTGCAGTGGACACCAACATGTTTGCCTGTGTCTCGGCTATAATATCAGCGGCTGACAAGATTCACCGTGCCATGAAACTTGCCAAAGAGTGAGTTCATTCCTGTGCCTCAGGCAGAAGGTGGATGGCTCTGTATTGGGCTCGCGCTTTTTCAAAAATTCTGCCTGAAAGGTCATTGACGTGCTCTATCATTTGGATAGAGGGCATTGCATGGCATGGGTGTAACGGGGTGAATCGTTACATAACAATTTATAAGAAATTGTTGATAGAATATAACTATAAGAGTTATATTCTCAGAATATTGTCATGAGGACAAGTATTCTGTAGCACTTACGAGTAGTTTCTAATTGGTTGAAATAGGCCATTCTATCAACTAACGAAGACGCGCCACGACAGATGCACGCAATGAGTGGTGAGCAGATAGTTGATTTACACACTTGTATTTAGACATAGTTAGATGAAGATAAATAGTGATTTATTGCAGACATTAACTATTATAAATGCAGTTCTACTTTTTACTTTGACCAAGTACTCGCTTCTTTTTACCGTCTTCCTCTGCACGTACGAGTGTACGTGAAGTTACGAGGCACCGCCTTATTCTGTCATCAGAATAAGTAGCTTGTACTGTTACCAGTACAAGCTTTAGGGTGCCACGTTACACCTGGTAGCACTTCGTAGTCCGTCCAAGGACCGCGTTCACATCTAACATGAATATGTTGGATGATGAAGATGACCAAAGCTTTCACGCTACGCGTGACGGCTACTCCCATTTGAGCGATGTCGAATGGGATGCGGTTAAACGGATGGGTTTAACCATGGGCATCCATGCTGTTAGCGTCATGCTAGAGGCTCTCAATAGAGATGCCCAACATGCTACTATCGCCAAGTTCATTCAAAATGAACTTGACGCTGAACGCGAGAAAGTAGCCTTGCTTCACCATACAAGGTTCTCAACAAGCAGAGTTGTTGAGAGAGCAGGGTGCTCAACAGTTTGAACTGTTGAGACAGCAGCAGGCTGCTGCTGGTGGGTCGATGCACTCGCGTCGACCCGAAACCTAGAAGATTGACATCTCCAAGTATAGGGGAGTCGAAGAGGACTCCCTCTTGAGATGGTTCGTCGAATTGGATGACGCCATAAGGGCGCGTCGCATCGACGACGGGGATATGCAAGTTGCATTTGCCCAGTCAAATCTGGCAGGACGTGCCAAGACTTGGGCTTTGGGGCTCAAGTTGCACAACCCATATGCGTTTGGGTCGTTGGAAGTCTTCAAGTCGCGGCTCAGACAAACGTTTGAACCGCCTAGAGCTGAGTTCAGGGCTCGAACCGAACTCTTGAAGCTTAGACAAGGTAAGCGTGATGTGCACGCTTACGCTCAACATATACGACATCTTACGAGTTGTATAAGTTCCAATCCAGTGGATGAACACACGTTGGTTTCGGTGTTCATGCAGGGTCTTGCGGATGGTCCCGTCAAGACTCACCTGTTACGGCTTGAACTAGATTCACTAGAACAGGCAATTTCCATTGCGGAACAGGAAGACTTCAGTCTGAGACAGG